AAATTTCCTTTCCGAGGCTTTGTGTCAGCCCAATCACATATTGTGTCAATACTTATCATTTTATCGTAATTTAAAAACTTGGAAATTGCACGGTACACTATAGGAACTACGATAAATTTTCCCTAATCGGCGCCATGTTTTTAGGCTCCTCCCTTTTGACGGATCCCAATAGAATTATTACTATTATATCATCATGAAAATATGACGTCAGTAAGAATGGATGTACATTGGACAAACGCAGAACTCCTTTAATTAATGTTTTAATGAGCCTAAAAAGTAGTAGAGAAAGTAGACCCATACGGGTCACGTAATTAAAGGAAGACATGTTTTTATTTACTATTCATCGTGTTTCTTAAGATTTTTATTATTTCCCAGTTACAATTCAATTAATGATATTAATGTGAAGCATTGAGTATATGTTTCATGAAAGTACCAGTTGTAAATTCTAATGTGAGCTTATATTAAGATAGTTAACTGTTATTAAACGTATAAGATACGATCTACTACGAGTACCATAGTTATTTATTCTTGGGCAAACTCATTGTAAGCATTAACAGATCCGTGCATAATGATATGGATATGCTAAATCATACATGTCAATTTACTTATGGTAACGCATTCGTAATTTAAATTGTTCGCATCGCTAATGGCTTCAGTTCAATAAATTGCCCGTCAGTTTCAATTCCTAAATTGGAATTATTAGACGGGACAATTTGCTACATTGAATAAATAGGTTGGATACAATATTTAATATGCATGTACGTGCAGCACAAATTCATTGGTAGAAAATGATAGTGAAGCCAATTCTTTTAAGTTCCTTAAAAAGGTAACCACTTATCCTACAGTTGGTTCTACATATTAAACTGTCGTCGAAAAACTTTAAATTTAAAACTGTAAAATTATGAAACTAAATACCCATTTGTTTTTCTATTAGCTACTGTTTTTTTTATACTGACCCAGCTATTTAAAATAGGTATAAAATTTGTAAATTATATAATGTATAATATAAAAAGTATTTTCTCAAAATTCACCGAGGTACGAATTGGACCCAATCAGGAAATAGCGCCGAAATTAGAGACACCAATTCTGATGCCGCTCGCGGTCACGCTGCTAACTTCATACTGTAGTATTGTCGTTAGCAGTGGGCGCACTTCCGTTTCATTCTAAAATTCTACACGAACAGTCAAAAAGGAGTAGGCGTTTCTTCAGGGACAGCACGTAAAAAGGAGTGGTTTAAATGTATGAGATATGAAGACACAATCAATAATCAAACTTATTAAGAAATTTTTTATGTCTTATTAACCGCTAGTGCTACAAACATTACAAAAATGAACAAGCAATAAAAAACAAAAGCAAAATCGTAATTTCTCTTAACAGAAAAAGTAAAACTTGACTAACGGACGAGTGGCAGTACACAATAAGATTAAAGTTACAGACATGAAACCAAGATTATCAAAGCCCCAGCTTACTTTTGTCTTTATTTATTCGGTAGAACAGAAACCAAATCTACCGGTACGTAGCAAAATAATCTAAATTGACAACCCAAAAACGGAGATTTCTCTAAATATAATGAATTGGACTACGAAGGGTGGAGTGATAAATGTACCTAATTTTCTACGTTTTCCTCTAAGTGAGGTGTATTTATATAGGACTCCTGTAGTAGAAAAAGTTCTTTCGATGCATCCTATCGTCCTAGTAATTAATTTTTTGATTATTAATGCTAAATATATAAATGATCCTAGATGGATCCTTGGGACTTTTGGTGAAAATTATAGTGAACAAGCTTTTATCCGCAGCTTCGCTTGCGTTGATGTCCTAAATACGTGTCAAAGTTCATCGAAAATACAATTACTTGATAAATAATCCTGACCAAAATCATCAGGATAATAGTACAGTTTCTAATTTTATAGGTTAAATATACACTTTGGGTAGAATGGCAGTAAATATATCAATATGGAAAGACATTTTTCTGTCCCTCGGGAACAATATTATTTTTCTGGATAAATGGTACCCTGTGTTCTTTTTAGTACCCCTAACAATGTATGTACAAATTTTTATGATGATCGGTTGAGGATTTGAACGTAAAATGATAATAAATAAATAAACAAACAAACAAACGACAAACATTCGCATTTAAGTATAACACTAGTTAGAATATATGAAGGATTTAGAAACAATTTTTTATATACTATAAAAGATGTACCTACGTATACATATCCCTGTCATTTCCGAATAAAACTGTCTCAAAATTCGAATAAGCTTTGAGGGTAGTTTTTAATAAGAAGGTACTCTCAATTAAAGTTTTCTGGGAAAACCAAGTTCATGTATGGAGAGCTAAAGTGATATACGACAACAAAACTCTGTTGTTTAAAAAGTTATCATAATATGCTAATGCGTAATAAGCATCAGCGGCATTATCCTTTATCCTTCCACTTGAAAGAAAAAATTGCTGCTCGGTTTTCTGCTTCTCAAAAAGGAATTTGTTTCTATACGAAATATCTTGTTATACAGTTGTATGATTGCCTATTTCATTTTGGCATATTTTCCACTTAACTTGATCTCCATAACAGTGTATAAAGGAATATAAGATACAAAATGTTTGTCAAGCCGTATCCAGCCAGATCCTTGGTTTTCATTTAGTTCCCGAACGAGAAGATGACGCTAATTTTCTTTAGTGTTTAATTTAGTTGGAAGAGTCGGTGGCCGTTTGGCTGCATTCCATTCCAGAGAATTTCGTTTCTTTTTCTCTCGGCCATTCTCTCCGTTTTTATGCATCGAGATCCGAGTTCTGGCGGTAAATGCGCGGATATGATCTCCGCGGTAGAACCCAAGCCGGAGCCGTAGATCCGAGAGCCAGTTTTGAAACAACTTCCGCGCTTGCTGACGACCATATCGCAAACTTTTGCCGACTCCTTTGCCGTACCACGTGTTCGCGAGTTTTATAAATCACATAAACTTTTACGATTTATGTATTTGAAATTGTGTACACAGTGGATTTAGTTTTTTATTTTTTCACTTTGATACATATAATGCTTGATATAAATCCTAACTGAACTTCAGTAACTATTATCCTGAAGGACTAAAACTTCATATTCAACAGAAGGGAAAATGCGAACAGGTGAATACTAGACCAACACAAATTCACGTTCATCTTCCCAATTTCCATCAGTTTTGTTTCTATATAGGTAAATGAATTATATTAAATTATACAGAGTGTGATAAAAGTGGAAAACAACCTATCTCACTTCAGTTATTTTAGAAAAATAAAGTCGTACTAAAAATGAAATAGAAATAAAAAAACTATGGTACAATTAATTATGCAGATGAACAATTTACAACACTATAAGTAAATATTACTATCACTGAAGTTAAGGATTTTACCCCTAAATCTTTTAGTTCCAGTTACCTCAAAAAAAAATTTAAAAAATATAAATGTCATCGCGATACACTTTAATTTGTTGCTATTTTCGTACACATACAATAAACATTATTCATTACTTATTCCCTTTTGAAATAATTAGAAGCAAATTGTATATAAAAATCACCTACAAAGTACCCCACAAGTATGAAGACCGATGTTTATCTACATAGGTATATTATTTTGAAGCACGTGTAATCGTCACACCTCTTTAGAATTAAATTTCTTTTATAATTTTTTAGGACATTTCATAGGTAATACCTGCAAAATTCAAATCAGCAAAAATCAACACTATAGAATCAAGTTATATAAATAAAGTAATTGGTTGTTTCAATTGAATTAATTAAAATGATTTAACAAGTCTTTCGAATTAATTGTAAGTCATTATCAAGGTTTATAAGCATGGACTTTATTGATAGTATTTATTCAAACGTGTTTTATTTATATGTAGTTACCACCTCGAAAGTTCGTCAAGTAAAATATAAAGAGTTTGTTTTGCTCAGTTTCTTTCATCCAGCATTTTGCTTATTATCCCACATCTCAATAATCCCTTTTTAATCTAGTACGAGCAGAATATATAAAGACAAAGAATAGCACAGAGGGTCAGGTCGCCTTTAACAAAAAGAAATCACTTTTTTGCTCGCGATTGATTAATTTAGGAATTAGGAAAATATTACGTATGTATTGTGAGCACGGCTCTGTACGGATGTGAAACGCAGACAGTGGACGCTGCGAAAAAGAAAATGTTAGGAGATGTGGTGTTAAAGAAGAATGTTAAAAATAAAAAGAAATTTCGTGGATAGAAAAAGTAAGAAATAGATAGGTTGGTAGAACAACTTCTCAGACATGAAGAGCTAAGTTAGAGACATATTAGAACCAGAAACAGGAGTTAAGAGGGGTAGAGGTAGACTACCAGAAGATAATGTTAACAATGCCTTGAATTGAAAATGTTAGATATGAAGATGTATTAAAAGGTCTAGAACAGAAGACGCTTAGGAAGTCAATTAAAGTTAGGCTAGATAGGCTGGTAGGATATCTTCCTACACTTCAATGACCAGTACTGAGAAATACATTAGTAGCAGAAGCAGGAGTTAAGGGGAGCAGAGATCGACTTCGAGTAGATGACTACACTTAAATAGTTAGAAATCTAGGCTGCTCTAGTTTTTGAGTAATCAAAAATATTAGTTTACTCAATGAAAATGGATAGGTTCTTTTACCTAATTAATTGTAATAATTAGAGCACATAACTAATTGCTCAGATTCAGAATTTTCTAAAAAAATGTAATTTATCATTCAGTTCAACTCCTTTTGGAAAAATTGCAATCTTATTATTATTATATACGTACCTTAACAAAAGAAAGGTTTAATAAGTCTCTAATAAATGCAGTTTTTTATTTGGCGCAAGAAGTTAATATGATGCTTTATTATTGTACATTTTCTTACAATTGAAAACTGAATGGGGATACAATTTAAACGGATATTAAGTATATTATAATAATTTAAATTACCATTCTCTAAGAACGCTGCTTTAGAGCAGTTTAAAGAAAGAACAATACCTATCTACAAAATTATCTCTCATAATTTTTAGAAATTTAATTTATTTTTGAAATAAATTTGAAAGTTTAAACCTATTAGATATACGTTTAGAATGATATTAAAAAGTAATTCCTATAATGCATTCTTTATCCGTAAACCATTAAAAATTGAACCGAAATATATAATTTTCCAGAAAAATCATTAGTAATTGCTCATCTCAAAAGTTAAGATTAACATTTAAGTGTAGTACCTACTTAAAAATGAATATAAAGATACGAGAAGAAAAATTAGAAGTGGTTGATTTTCGGTATCCAGGAAGTCAGAGTGTCGCAGTGTCGAGTCGCCTTCAATAAAAAGAAGTAATTTCTATGCCCACGAACTGTTAGTTTATAAATTGGAAAATGATTGTTAAAGGTGTATGTTTGGAGTATGGCGGTGTACGG